CAGCTTCCCTGAGAGGCCACCCCTGCCACCCTATGTTGAATTTTCTTTCTCCTTCCATACCTTGTCCTACCCTCCCAGGCCTCCCCATCTCCCCTCCCTGCTTTATTTTATTCCATGACTCGTATCACTAACAAACTATACATTTTGATTAATTTGTGTATTCAGTCTCTACTCTGTGGAATGTCAGCTCCAGGAGGGCAGGGATGTTGTCATGCTTTCTTTACTACTGTATGTGTACCATCTAGAATAGCACCTGGCACATAATAGACAATAAATATTTATTAATTCAATGAGAATAGATATTATTACATCTTCAGTTTACTCCCAAAGTAAGTGGTCTTGAGAGAGATTAAGATGGGTTCCACAGGTGGTTGGTGGTAGACTCAAATGTGATCTCTGGATGGTTAACTCCAACAACCCACCACCACCCTTAACTACAGTGGCCACCACTTCCTGAAGACATCTCTCCCTGGCTCTGACTTCTCAGTTGGACATGGGTTCCTCGGAAGCAAGAACTCTATTGTATTCAGATTTCTGTTTCCTTGTGTGATCCATGGTAGGGGCTCAAGGATATTTGCCAAACCAATCTAGATGTGAACTGTGAAATGCTAGATGGTAGAAATCCAGTCTTCACTTTTTATCCTTTATCTCCATGCTAAAAACAGTGTTAAAGACATAGGCGAGCCTTTAAATACTACATTAACAAATTCTGTTATGGCAGTAGGTAATAAAAATAATTATCAATTATGACAATAATAGGTAACATTTACAAAGTCCTGACTCTGTGCTGGGCCCTTTCCTAAATGCTTTGTACAAGAATGAAGACGATCAACTCTCTTACTATCCTCATTTTACAGATGATGAAATGGAAGCTCCGGTTAAGAGCTTACCTGAGGTCACGCAGCTAGGAAATAGCAGAGGCAGGATTTGCATGTAGGCACCTGAGAGTCACGTTCGTTAACTACTCTGGGCTGCATCTCAGCTAGGAGATGTCCATTACAAGGCCACCCTGTGTGAAGACAAGAAGATTGGTTTATTACACATTTCTGTTTTATTTCAAGGGATTTCTTGAAATTCCGCCAAAGGCTTTGGTAGGCAGTACTACTTGCTAAATAATAACCACTAGTATGCATATTGCACTTGATGGTTGGCAGAGCGGCTTCATGCACTGTTTCTCATCTGACCCCTGCAACAATGTGATGAGGTGGCCACTTCTGTCTCATCTCATAGATGAGGAATCTGAGGCTCTGGGTGGTTAAACGAACAAGGTCAAGGTCACCCACCCAGTGAGGAGCAGAGCAAGGGCTCAAGTTAACATCTATCACTTCAAAAAAATTAAGATCTGAGTGTTTTCAAACATAAGACTCTTTCATGTCACTTAAAAGTAAGTAAGCTAATCCACGGGAAAGCACTCGGCATGGTGCGTGGAACCAGGTAGGACCCTCATAAATGTGAATTATCATCATCTTCATCAACACCTCTTAGGAACTGGAATATTTTAGCTGATGACTGCAGCCCGTCTGTTGAGCCTGATGGAAAGATTACCCTTTTCATTCTAGTTCATCCCTAGTAATGTTGAAATAATGATCAATCTCCATTATCCCTGGGGAACCACAGAATGTTAAGAGCTGGAAGGGGTTGTGGAGATGAGCTCATCCGGCTCCTGCATTCACAGATGGAGAAATCGAGTCCTAGACAGGGAAGAGGTCAGAGGGCAAACTTCTCCAGGGTAGGGCTCCTGCACCGTGCCTGGCACATACTGTCCCCCCCCACGAAGGTGGGCAGTTACCTAAAAGGGCATCTAGCTTCTTAAAGGCTACAGGAGATAATTCATTAGTTTCTGAGCTTTGAGCACTCCCACCCCACCCCCACACAAAGTACCAAAGTGTTACAAGATATTAACCAGAAAACCGGTCATGTGACTTAATTCCACCTCTGCTTAAAATACTTTGGTGAGTAGTCTGAGATTCATAAATATACACTTCAACTCTTTCTCAAAGAATTATTAACCAGCTCCATCAAAACTGGAACTTGAGCAATCAAGGAGAAAAATTGCTGGCAAGAGAAACATCTTGAATAAAATCTCGCCACCAGTAGATATGACTTCTTGGCACCTCTTTTTTTTTTTTCCTGCAAGTTCGAGGGGGAAGGAAAGAAAGAGGTATTATTGTATAAGACATGAATCAATGAAACTAATCGTGGAAAATTACAGTCCCTTTCCACCTCACAAGATAGATTCCAAATGAACATAACAGCCGTGTTAAGTTGTAGAACTTGAAGACAGAAGTCTTGAAAAGGGGGATGCAGCACAGATGTAACCCTCACTGGCTTTTTCAGAGGGTGGAAACAGGCTGGAAGAACCTGACAGTGTGTGGGGGTGATAATCAGTGGTAGCCCATTCCCAACTAATGATTTTGAGAACCTATAATTTATCGAGTATCCGTGTCATACTCACCTTACTTATCTCACTAACTCACTGGGGACTAATTCTCCCGGGCATAGGACTAGCTTTTCATTCCACACTAAGGCCTTGATCAGCTTTGGCTTGAGGATTTGGGGGTGGGGAGGGATGACGGAGAGAAATGAGATTAGGGTTCAGTCTGGGAACTAAAGAAACAGAAATATAAACCCTCCTCTGCTGTGGCTCTGGGCTTCGTGCTTCTCAAGTACGGCTGAGATTCAGGCCCTTCCAACAAACTTGAGGCCAAAACAGCTCTCAGAATGAAAAGATTCCCCTCCCCCACAACACCTTTATCAAATTCAAACTATTTTCCACATTCCTTCCTTACACAGCTCAGGCGCACCTGTGACGCAGGGCTCAGGGCAAATTCCACTCAGGAGATCCAGGAAGCTCCGGCCTGGCCCTCCCTTCTAGAAAGGAAAGTCCAAGAGGGATACCACACCCGGAGGAGGGGAGAGAGGACATGACAATACCTCTAGGAATGCAGGGCCCACGCAGGTGCGTTGGCATCCATGAACTTCCTCTTGAAAAGGGCCTGATAAATCAGTATGGGTAACAGTAATAAAGCTCAACCACACCATACTTGCTCCCACTGAACTGGGGCCCCGGCTTCCAGGGCATGGCCCTGGCAGTTGGGGAGTGGAGGGTCACAGCTGAGAATAAAGATTCCTAAAGGCTGTGACATGTTTTCTACTCAGCGGTTCTTCAAGTGGGGGCCCTGGGTGTCCCTGAGACCTTTTGAGGGGATTCTCAAAGCTAAAACCATTTTCACAGTATTGACATGTCACTTGTTCTTCTCACCCTCATTGTCTCACAGGTATCCAGTGGGGTTTTCCAGAAGGGACATGGCATGTGATGAAGTCACCCTGATGACTCCTGAAATGTGTGCTTGTGTGTTCTTGCGTTTAAACATTCTCAGTTTTAATTCTCATACACTGAATATTAAAAGACGTAACACATAAACAAAATACTTGGGGGCCCTCCATAATTTTTAAGGGCCTTAAGGGGTCTTGAGACCAAACTGTGGAGCTGCCCCATCACAACACCACACTTCATGTCCAGCACAGCTTGAGTCACTTAGCAGGCGCTTTTGAACAGGGGGTGGAGGCCACAGCCTTAGTCACCTTGGGATGGAGTCCTTTCCATCTGTACTTCCACCCAAAATGGCCAGAAAAACCTTAAATTCCCCCACAAACACTTAGTGAACTGAACCACACCCCCCGGGGGGGAAAGATGGACTTCTCACCTCTGAGCCCAGGTGGGGCAAAGTTAGCATGAACTCCCTCAGCACCAGCACTGAGCAAAGCCGCATCTGAGTACCTGCTAGGAGTCAGGTACCACGCTCCCTGCTCAGAAGTGAGTTGATGCAGTCCCTGCCTCCTCAGCGCTTTCATTCTAGGGTGGAGGGCAGATGACTCCAAAAAAATGACAAAACTGAAACTTGTCACACAAGTGCTGGGAAGGATGTACAAGGCGTCAGGAGGGATTTGAGGTAGGCAGATGAGGGGAAGGAAGGCTCTGAGGATTCAGGTGGAATGAAGCGCCCTAACCAATTCCTCCTGGCCATCTCAGACATCCCCCAGCCCCCTCAAGCCCAGGTCGGCTCAGAGGGGGGCTCAGGTGGGCCCTTCTAGGTGGGTGGGGGGACTTGAGGGTAGGGTACCCCCCCCCCCCCCCCCCCCCCCCCCCCCCCGGCATGGCCAATGCTAAACGGCGTCCCCGTTAGGAGAAACGTGACTCTGGGGCATTTAGAGCAAAGCGTTCAGTCTTGATGAGGACACAACTCTATCACTAAACTCGGAGAAAAGAACGTTATCCAGAGGCTGCCGTTGGTGGAAACAGCAATCAGCCAAGAAATGGCTGGAGGAGGGAGAGGAAGACTTCAGAGGTTAAAAATAAATACAAAATAAGCAAAGAAAAAAGAAAGCCCGGGCGGGCCGGCCTAGAAGTCCTCAGGGAAGCCGCACCTGAGGGGAGCCATCCTGGGCCTCAGCTCACTTTCCCTCCCCACTCGCGGCGCCCTCTCGACCTCCCAGGACCTGACGGATTGCAGAAAAATCTCTACGGACAAAACCAAGCCTGAAGGGCCCTGATGTTCTCCCCTAGTAACTGTTGCAGAGGCGGGAAAACTTTTATTTTGCAAACAGAGTCGCAGCCGGACGCCTAAACGACCCAGCTGGGTGGTGGAGGGGCGTTGCCGCACGCTGCAGCACCCCAACGTGAACGTGGGGTGGGGGGCGCCGGGAACCGAACATATCCACCGCGCTTCTACGACCAGCCGGACAGCGCGATCCAACCCCAGCCGGGCGCGTTCTCGCCGAGACGGGCCGTCAGGCGCGTGCCTGCGCTTGCGCAAAAGGCACGCGCCCCAGCTCCTCTCCAGGTGCGCTCGCGCTTCCGGCCGGCCTTCCCAAGACGGAAACACCAGAGCCCGCGCATGCGCTTTCCAGCTCTCCTGCTAGATCCAGGGAGGGGGCCCAAGGCTTCAGGTGATCCCGCCCCTCCCTCGCAGCGCGGAGCCAATCGCACGGCGGTGGGCGGGATTTTAGAGAAGGCGATCCGCCCACGCGCTTCGCGAAGCGTGTATCGATTGGCTGGCGATGCTGGCGCAGGTGCGCGCTTCCCATTGGGTGGGGCGGAGCGCGAGCCGCTGGGGCTTCGGCGGAGGCTGCAGGTGAGCGCGCGCGCGCGCGCGCCGCGGCTCCCGCCCGGCTCGGGTGCGCGCGCGCGGGCTTGCGGGGGAGGCGGCCGAGAGAGATTGCGGCGCCTGTCGCCTCTGCTCCGCCCCCTCCTCCTCCTCCGGCGTCGCGGCCGCCGCCGAGGCCCGGAGGGAGGGAGTCGCGTCCCCGCCCGCCGCGCAGCCAGTCCGACCCTCGGTCCCGCCGCGTGCGGAGCCAGCCGAGCGCAGCTCTGCGCGGAACCCCGAGCCCCGGCCGAGCCCCTCTGCAGGTGCCTGTGAGGAGGCGTCCGGGCCGCAGCCGCGTCCCCAACCCGCCGGCCGCGCACTCGCTCCCTGCGCTCCCGAGGGGCGGCCCGGCCGGAGGAGGCCGCTGCGGGGCCCGGCCTCAGCATGAACCGCAGCCACCGGCACGGGGCGGGCAGCGGCTGCCTGGGCACCATGGAGGTGAAGAGCAAGGTGCGCGGGGCCGGGGCTGGGCGGAGCGGCCGGCTGATGGGGGCCGGGCCTGGGGGAGGCCGGGAGGCTGGCCGGGGCGGCCCGAGGGGCTGCCCGGCTGTCTGCAACGCGGGGGGGTTCGGCAGTGGGCTTTGGAGGCAGGAGGTGGTGGATAGTAAACTGGCCGAGAAGGGGGCGAAGGAGGGGCCTTGTGTGTGTCCCTGGCCCAGGTGGGAAGACCAGTGGAGCACTTTATCTCCTTGAATCTCATGCCTGTTCAGGGATGGGAGGCGTCTGAGCGCAGTGGGGTACGAAAGCTTTGGGGGAAATTCTAGCTCCTGGTCTGTGAGTAAAAGGTATTTGGAAGACGCGTGGTCACAAAATGTTACCCTTTTCTGTGGTTCAAGGGTGCATCGAGTGGTGAGAGGGAGAGGCCAGTGCACTAAAGAGCCCTTTTAAAGTTAGCTTTGCTTCCTGCTAGGGATTTCTTCGGCACTAACTTTGGTATGCGTTTAATCTATAAAATTAACACTATCACCTTTCGTTTGAGTAGCCCTTTACAGTTTGAGGCTGGATGCTCTTTTCATTCCATCGTGCTACCTTTTCACATCAAGTGTTTTCCTTCTTCACCGACGGTATGCCGGTCTGCTGATAACTCTGTCCGGATCCGCTGAATTCCTAAATTGCAAGGCTCCCTGAGCAGGGTAGTCTATAGGGATTAGGTAAAGAATGCTTTCGGAAGGGGGGTTTGAGTGGAATTTGAAGGTGATCGGCAACCACAGCAACATTTTCAGCAAGCATTTCATGAGCTGAAGAGCCAAAGGAGTTTAGATGATCTAATTTGATTCTCTGGAAAATGGAGGGATCAGAAAGGGGTCGCCAGGCTCTGCTTTTATGACAAAACCTGGAAGCCTTTTTACAGAATAACTTCTAGAGGATAGAACTGTTTTTGAGAACACAACGTAGTTAAGAAGACCAAAGCACATGCAAGAATGGGAGAACAGTATGAGCTTATCAACTTCAAAAATGATGAAACATCATTGAATATAAGACTGCTTACGGCAAATCCAAAATCAGGGAGTGGTTTTGAGTGAAGTAGATAGAGTAAGGAGAGCTCCTTGGAGCCTGTGGGTGGAATGGCTTTATTATCTAGAGTTGATAAGCAAAGTTATGTAAGCTGCTGTAACTGAGGTCTTCGCCTCAGGAATATCTACATTCATTTTGAGCATCATTTAAATGGTTTGTGACTTCTGTATCAGGGTAGGGGGTAGTTCCACAGAAACCGTTCTGTTTTAATAAGAATAGAAATGTAATTATAGCAATTTAAGGAATGTGCTCTTCCCTGTGTCGTCCATGGAACTGCCAGAGCAAATGGAAGAGATGTGCTTGAGCTAAGGGTTAAGATGACTGCGAATATACCGGGTTTTCCCTCGAGCAGTATAGCCGCGGTAGTGGTTCTGTGCCCAGTGGTTGAACTTTCTGAGGCATTTCTGTCATAAATCTAGTTTGCATCTGTGGGGGTTGAGGTTAAGAAAAGAAAAACACTTAGGATATTGCATAATCTTAAAATTCGGTTTGTGGTCCTAATCTTGGTAGCAAGTCTTTAATTCTTCATCACAGGAAAACATGAGTAGAGATTCTAGGTGCACTGACAAATACAGTCAAACAGTAATTTATCTCCTGGACTAGAAACCTGGAGCACCCTGGGACTGGAACTTCAGGCTTTCTGCCCCTTCTCTTCTGTCAGCTGACCTGTGAATCTTCCCCACAGGTGTATCTGTACTACATGTTATGTATTTTGAGCTGCCATGCTGCACTTGTAAATAGAATCAAGGCATTCTGAGAACCTGCACTGAATGAAGTGTGGTTCCTCTGTTCCCGATGTTGGTGAATAGACACAATATTAGGTACTGTTTTTTGTGTGTCTGTGACACCTTGTGTTTTAAATAGATATTGTTGACACGTTTATTTTTAGTAGATTAAACAAAACACTTGTCATCTTTATCATTTAAAAAGTATTTGGACAGATGTTTCAAACAGTATTTCCCTTTGTCAGCTGCCTTGGAGAAACCACAGCTTTTTACAAAACTGATGGTCAAGAGGTTGTAACCACAACCAGGTGATGTGCAGATCCACATTTCAGGATCTCTTTTTCTTCTGCATAGAAAACAGTGTCAGCTGTATTGTCTGAGCAGAGCTGGGAAAGTTCTTAATAATGAAGGTGGTATCCTTTAATAACCTTGGAACAGTCTTTGGGCTGTACATTTTCTAATTATTATTCATGGGCAAACAGTAGTAAAATTAACTTTGCGGTTTCTTGAATGTACCAACAGTGCCCGGAGAAGGGTATCCGTTGTCCCAGCAGATCCTGGGAGAACGGACACATCCTGGGTGCCCAAGACAACTAGACTGGCCTTCATAAGAGTTAGAAATGGTTCACGTAGTGAATAGTTGTTGACTGGGTCTTAATTTTGTCTCTTAGTATTTTTCTTCATGTGGAGTAAAACGTTCTCTTAATCCTATTGTTTTTCTGCAAGAAGCATAACAGTTTCTCGTTTGGTTTTGTTTTCTGCTAACATTTGCAAAGGGCACATCTTCTGTGAAGCCACACAGTTTTTCATTGTTTTTATCATAACATTTAAGGAAGAGAAAAACATGTTGAGCAAAGGATTTTCACCCAAAAGCTTTAGCAGTCACGTTGGAGCCCTAAAATGTTCCAGTGTTAGATGGTACTCTCCTTGACGTACCTGGAGCAGTGGTAAAACCCTGGCGGGAATCCGAGCACTGGGAGCTTTAGGTTGTGATACCGGGATAAAGAACGTGGAGGAGAAGCTGTGACTTTTGATAACATCATAAGACTAGCTCTGATGTGAAGGGTGTTGCCGAGTTTTTATTTACTTTGAAACGTGAAGGTGTGACTAAACTTTTTTGAGAGTTTTAGGTATGAATCACCTTATATTCTTGACAAGTGTTGTTGTTTATGTTTCAGGAATGGGTTAATGGAAGCTCTTTTACTGATTAGAAGAGGTGGTTTTAGTGAATTTTAAATTTAATACTGATGAGTAGTGTGGGTATCAGCCAGGCAGATGAACTTCTGCCATGTAACAGATGCAGTGACTCCAGATACCCCATAGGTCCTTGGGAGGAGAAACGACACATTTGTAACCTGCTCAAATTATTCTGATGGGGACTTTGTCTGCTTGATGCTTAAGGCTGTGTTAGTATTACATTAAAATACATTAGTATTTCTTTTTTTAATTTTTAATTTATTTGCGAGAGAGAGAATGAGAGACAGACAGCATGAGAGGGAGGAGGGTCAGAGGGAGAAGCAGACTCCCTGCTGAGCAGGGAGCCTGATGTGGGACTCCATCCCGGGACTCCAGGATCATGACCTGAGCCGAAGGCAGTCGCTTAACCAACTGAGCCACCCAGGCGCCCAATACATTAGTATTTCTTGTTAATAGTAGATATTTAGAGGAAAAATGAGTTCAGTGGTTGAGCATATTTGGCAAACATTTGTTTAAAATTAAAAAAAAAAATCAACTGGAGGACTGAACTGAGTCTTTAATATCTGGTCTCACAGTGATTCCTAAGAGTGTGATTATAGTTTTGTAGCATTTCCTAAACGTGGGTGGGACACTTTGTGAGGAAGGCTGATTAACCTTACCTAGGTTTGCACCTGGAGGAAATGCCACGCTGGGCCCATAGTTAAGTCATAGATCCTGTTTATCAGGGAACAGATGAAGCCAGTCCTGAGTGCCACTTGAATAATCTGGCATTTGGAGAGCAGAGGTGTGATTCTAGAGGAGGAATCAGAATGGGGCATGATAGAGGTGTTTCTGTGGTCCCTTAATACCTCTCTGATGTCTTTGTCCTCTTTACCCACCTCTTTACCCCATGGGTGAGCTCCTGCTGTGGGCCTGAGCCTTTCCATCTGTAGGGCTCAGGCACTGTGCCAAGCACACAAACACTTCTTGCATTAATTGGATGGTTGTAGGATGTATATATTATGTATTAATAAAGCTTTTTTCCAGCATTCATAGGGAAGATGCTCCTTATCTCTAGACCTATTTCTTATATGACCTACCTCCCATTTGTAGTGTGCCTTAATGCGAAGAAGCTCAAAGTCCCTTTTTTATATGTTGCTATTAATTCTTGCCACTTACTGTGAAATCATAATTCCTTTTATGGGGGAAGAAACTTAGGTGCTTTTTGCTGATGGCCAAAATAAAGACCTGGGCACATCTTTTTTACCCCATGGCCTGAGGTGGGAGAGGACTGCTGTCAGGATCTGGGCTCCAGACAGGTTTGAGCTGAGTCACTGCAGGGCAGTCCCCAGTGAGGCCTGGGAACCCCAGGGATTGAGTGGAGCCTGCATCTCTTGAAGGGAATGCCATGCCCTTCCGAGAGGTAGCAGTGAGAAGGCACATTCCTGTGTCTCTCTTACGCTGTTTTATCTCCGATAATGAGATTTCTGACAATAGACTGTGTCACTGCAACTGTCTTTTTTATTAAGGGAAGTACTACGCCTGTTAATTTTCCCGTGGAGTGCATTTTCAGATTGGGTCCTGTTACTTTTGTTTTGTTTTTAATTAATATGTTCATTGTATTTATAGTTTGGAGCTGAATTTCGTCGGTTTTCCCTGGAAAGATCAAAACCTGGAAAATTTGAGGAGTTTTATGGATTACTGCAGCATGTTCATAAGATACCCAATGTTGACGTTTTAGTAGGCTATGCAGACATCCATGGAGACTTACTCCCTATAAATAATGATGATAATTATCACAAAGCTGTTTCAACGGCCAATCCACTGCTTAGGATTTTTATACAAAAAAAGGGTAAGTACTACTATGTGGAAAAATTGTTTTCGAAATAAAAGTAGTTTATTTTCCTCATTGATAAGAATATGCATTGAATCCTCACTTTGCCGAATAGAATTTTGTCCATTCAGAAATACAGGACAGAAAGACTGTGACTTCGGAATCAGAGAAAGATTCTCGTTTTTTGGTGGCAAGTGACTTTCAAGTGCCATATTTACTACTTAATAACTACCTGAAGGAGAGTTGACTTATTTAGAATGTTTTTCACAGAAATAAAGTTAGTTAATTATTTGGAAAATTAGATATCAAGTCATTACTTTGGAGGAATTTAAACACTGATATTAGTCTTGCAAAAGAACATTTGAAATAACCATCCTATATGGCAAGCATTTTCAAATGTATTTTGAGTTTTAAAACTTTTTTTTTTAACTTCGTGGCCTCCTCTGTGTTGCCTGTCTGCACGTGGGCCTGATGTGTGCCATTTATTTCTTTGCCTTTGGTAAATGAAGAGGTTTAAGAAAGCCAGCATGACGGCAGCAAGCTCAGTATTGGTGGGATAATGAAAGCCTTAACTGTGTTTATAAACCAACCCAGAAAGCAGTTTGAGAGAATGGGTAGGGATTACCCTTGAAGGTGAAACTTTATTTCCAATCGGTTGATAAACCTTAGACCACTCCCAGGGCTTTGAAATTCCACTGATTATATAGCTTTGCTTTTCTGGGTTTGGAGGAACTAAAGTCCACCAACAAAAATAAACCTCCAAGGGTAACATGTCCATATCACTTGACTATTCACAGAATACTTAGAAACACACAAATTGATTTTCCCAGAGACCCCTGAGGTGGATTTCATAGATATGTAACAGTGGTGTGGTACAATGAGAGTGTTAATCTAAGGAGATTAATTTGGCTGTTGGGGATGAGTTGGGAGTGAGCAGTGGTCTTAGAGGAGAGGGCCAGGACCCGGCGGTGAGGGGACAGCTGGGAAGCTGCCCCAATGGAGGAGGCCGGTGACGAAAGTGGCCGTGTTAGATAAAGAGGGCATATCTGATATTTGAGACTCACTGTGCTCCCCTCTGGATGGCGGGGAGTTGAAGAGGGACTCCCAACAGAGAACAGCTTTCTGGGTTCGAGTCTGATGCTGGGACAGTGCCATAAACAAGCAGAATTTGGAAGAGGGACATTAGCTTGGAAAGAAAACGGGTTTGGTTTTAGGATATTTGGCTGGTGAGTTTTAACCATGCCACCTAGGAAATCAGAAATGGTAGACAGGAACTTTGAATCGAAATCTAGAGGCCCAGTCAGAGAAAATTGAAAGTCTGTGGGAAAGTGATAGTTGAGAAATTCTCTGGAGGAGACCTAAGTAAGGCCTCGTAGGGATGAAGACCAGGGATGGACCCTTGGAAAGCTGTGTACAGACTGTTGGAGACAAAAGAACATCGGTAGAGGAGAGAAGACAAAGCATTCATGTGGAACTTGTCACTTTAAGCAGAATAATATCAATAATTATTGATGAGTAGGCCTTTCTTAGCAGTTGTAATTTTCATTAAAAACTTTGTTGCTCTTTGGAATGTGTATTCAAGTGTGGAGTGACTATTTTTAAACTGTTGTTGGATTATCTTTTTTGTTATATGATAGAAGTTGATTATACCACTACATGATTTTATTTATTACTGGCTTTGTAACATTTCATGATGGTGGGATTAACCCTCACATCTGTTAAGGGTGGTTATGTTCTGTTTTTTGCTTTTGAATATGTTTATATGTGAACAAAAGTTTTCTATGTCTTAGAAATAAATGTCCAATATAGTAAACAGCCCTTAGAATTTGATTTAGAAAGGGGCGCCTGGTGGCTCAGTTAAGTGTCCAGTTCTTGGTTTTTGTTCAGGTCATGACCTCACGGTTGTGAGATCAGGCCCTAGCCCTGGGTCAGCTCCCCACAGGGCGTGGTGAGCCTGCTTAGGATTGTCTCTCCCCTGCCCTTCCCCCTATCTTAAAAAAAAAGTTTATTTAGAAATAGGCGGTACATTCAACAGAACATTTTTGTTTTTAAAAATACAAATGTAGGGGCACCTGGGTGGCTCAGTCAGTTAAACGTCTGCCTTCAGTTCAGGTCATGATCTCAGGGCCTTGGGATCGAGCCCACAAAGGGCTCCCTGCTCAGCGGGGAACCTGCTTCTTCCTCTCCCTCTGCCTTCCCCGCCCCACTCGTGTGTGTGTGTGTGTGTGCGCGCGCACGCGCACGCGCGGCATACACCCACTCTCTCTCAAATAAGTAAATAAAATCTTTAAACATATATATAAACGTACAGGCGCCTCGGTGGCTCGGTCAGTTGAGCTTCTGCCTTGGCTTGGGTCATGATCTCGGGGGGTCCTGGGATCAAGCCCCACGTTGTGCTCCCTGCTCAGCAGGGAATCTGCTTCTCCCTCTCCCTCTGCTCCTTCCCCTGCTTTTTTTTAAGACTTTATTTATTTATGAGAGAGAGAGCACAAGGCCGGGAGAGGGAGAAGCAGGCTCCCTGCTAACATGGGGCTCAGTCTCAGGAAACTGGGATTATGACCTGAGCAGAAGGCAGATGCTTAATCGACTGAGCCATCTAGGTGCCCTGAAATCTTTTAAAAAAATAAAAATAATAAAAATATAAATGTAATACAAATATGACTTAAGGAAAGCATAAAAGTAAGCTGGTCAAGTCATTGCTGTTTAATCCCCCCCCCCCCAAATCCAGAATAAAATCACTTCACAACCTCATCTTTCTCTATTCCCTCACTCCCTCATCATAGCCTACCAGGCTGGCTTGCTTTCTGTCTCAAACTTGGAAAGGGTGTTGCTGTCTTTCTCCTCGATTCTCCCCCCAGCTCCCTCCTCATCCTTCAGATCTTATCACACGGAAATAACTTTCTCAGAGGGGTCTCTTTGGACCACCCTAGCCAAAGCCCCTTGACCCTCCCACCTTTATCAGCCCTGGAATTACCTTATGTAAGTATGAGTTATCTTGTTTATTGTCTCTGTTAACAGACTTACGTGGTGCCCTGTGATTCACAGTGATACTTCTTTTAAAGCTCAACTGATGCTTGAGCAGAAAGCTGATTTTAGGTAAACTTTAGTGGACATTAAATTCAGGAAAGTAATATAAATAAAGCATGACATTATAGTAACATTTTACTGCTTAATTACAATACACTTTGTTTTCTTGGCTTGTTGATTCCAGTTTAGTAGGGCAGCACTTAAACTTATATGGTACCAAGTGATTTTAAAAAACAAAACTTTAAAATCATTTTCAATTTTGAAATCATGTGGTCTTTTAAAATCTGATACATCTACTAGAAGTTTCTTTGAAGTGAAAGTTCACAGTTGAATGCATGAACTATATAGTGTGAACTCAAAAATTGTATCGTTGCATATCTTGAAAGGTTTTATGTCTTACAACAATTTATTGTTAGAAGAAAAACCCATACTCGAGGGCTGTTATCACGGAAGCAGAAACCAAAGAAAACAAAATCCCTGCTATCTGAAAAGTTAGGTTCACAAAGAGGATTCCCAGATCTTTTGCCAACCCCATCCCCTGTTGGAATTTAGAGGCTTCCCAGCTAGTTGTGAGGGGCAGCCAAGTCTGGGATCTGTGGAGGTGCATGGCCTCCTCACCAGATCTGATCAGAATACCCGCACCACAACTTCTTGTTGTGTTACCTACCGTCTGTTTCTGTATGACATCAGACAAACGCATTCACACCTTGGATTTATTAGAGTTTGTTGGAAACCCTGGAAGGGCCTTGCTTGCGTCACGCGTTGTTGTACTTCAGACATGGCCTGTGGCCCAAACGCCCGGCAGGCACCTCAGTCCCTAGAACTGTGCAGTGGACATTAGTTGGTAGGTGGGCTTGAAGATTACTTTTTAATGAATCCGGGTTTGATTTAGAAATGCTCTTAGAGGGACGCCTGGGGGGCTCGGTCGTCAAGCGTCTGCCTTCGGCTCGGGTCACGGTCCCGGGGTCCTGGGATCGAGCCCCGCATCGGGCTCCCTGCTCCGCAGGAAGCCTGCTTCTCCCTCTCCCACTCCCCCTGCTTGTGTTCCCTCTCTCGCTGTCTCTGTCAAATAAAATCTTAAAAATAATAATAATAATAGAAGTGCTCTAAGAGATGCATCGTAATTGTCAGTTGAAATTTGAAGAACAGCATATGATACCAGTTGCTCACGACAGAAACGTGGGTGTCACATCCCTGTGACACATACCTGTTGTTCAGTCAGTCACCAGGCCTCTTGGAACCGTTCTAATTATTTTTCGGATTTGTTTCCCCATCAGCACTGCCTTTTCTCCAGGCCAGGCACCATCCAGAATGACCTCAGTAACCCCCAATCGTCTCCCTCAGGGTCGCTCTCCAGTTTACAGTCAGGGTGAGCTTAATAGAAAAACCCAGATCTTCAGTTTTCTTCCCATTGCCCTTAGGCTGAAGTCCATAATCCCTAGTACCCCCACCCCCCAGGCCCTGTTTGTCTGCATGACCCCTGGCTGCCTCTAACTGGGCTCCTGGCTTCCTCCCTCCCCTCCCTCTCTCCCTAGGGGATTTCCTCATTTACCCCAACCTGCGCTCCTCTGTGTGTTGGATCCTGTGCCGGGAACATTCTTCCTTCCCTTCTACCTGATTAGCTACTGGCTGCTTTTCCAAGTCTCAGCACAAACCTCACTTCCCCTGGAGAACCGTACCCTGCAAGCGGCTTGGCCCCTTTGTAATAATTTGATTGCAAGTGTTAATTGCCATCTCCTCTTGCAGACTGTAAGCACCATGAAAGCAAGCACCCCGCTTATCTCTCTTGTTCACCGAATCTGCAGCACAGGACACAAGGCCTGGCCCAGTTGCAGTGCTTCTGAAATGTTTGGTGGTTGGTTTTTCTTACATTAGGAAGTGAAGGGACTTGCATACTTTGAATATTGCTTTAGGTGATGTTTAATCCTTTTTGAAGTTGCCAGTTCAGTTCATTTAACCATTTTGGATTAGAACAGGGGTGTGCAAACAAGGCTTGCTGGCTGTTTTTGTAAATAAAGTTTTCTTGGAACACAGCCCTGCGTGTTCCTTTCTGTATCGCCGGATGATCTGCTGTACCCAAGAGTGCTTACCATACAGCTCTTCGGGGAGAAGGTTGTCAGCCCTGAATAGAGTAATTTCAAAAATTACTTCATTCTTCCCTGTCTTCTCACTGAACTTCGAATGGGTCATAATCTTGAACTTTCTTGATGACCCTACCGTGAACTGTTACTGTTCTGTTACTGTACAGGGATGATGATGGGGTTTATATGAGGGTTAGGTTTTTGGTGTCTTTTTTTTTTTTTTCCAGATTTGCTTTAACACTGTAGGCTTTTACTTTATGTATCTGTGCCTGCCACTCACTAGTGGGCCCTTACCCCCTGCTCTGAATCTGTGACTTGCAACTGTGTGTGTGTGAGTTAAGGAATGAGATAAACCAGGCTTTTCAGAGTTAACTGTTGAAAGAGTAAGAGGTCCAGAGGGAGTGGCAGCAAGGCTCCTCTGTAAGTAAAGCACAGGAGCTTTCTGCTTGTAAGGAATTGAGACATGCAGTTTGGCTCCTCAGAGGCATTCCGAGTGGATCCTTGTTGATTGCAGTCCTCCGAGATTGTGGCTAAGGGACAGGCTTGGGATAAGGGAGGGATTGCTGTCTAAGCCTGTATCATGCACTGTTGCATAAGCCTGGGTTTTTACAGCTGGGGAGGTTGCTGTGAACCAGATTTGCAAACTTTTCATCTTAGAATCTGAGTTTAGGGCTTCGACGCACAGACTCAGAAAGTGAACTCCCAGTTCCCTGTGGACACTCACCTTTACACTTTAACACTCTGCACCCTGGCTTTCTGCCAAAATACTTCTTTTCCCAGTGGCTGGAAACTGATTAGCTAGATGGGGGAACAAAGGTGCCTTTGTGCTGGGGCATATTGCTTTTGAGAATTTAGCAGAGAGCATTCAAACAGTCTGGATGCGATGCCAAATTATGCAGATTGGGGGTTGTTGTTGTTGTTGTTGTTGTTGTTGGTTTTTGGTCAGGTTTCCCATGTAGGCAACTTAATTTTGTTCTCAAGTGTGTATGGTCTGGAATTTTCCTTATAAATCTTATGTGGGTTTTCTTAATTGATTGTTTTAAAAGGAAAATACATACTTCTGAGAAAACACATTCAGCAGAAGACTATCGTTGATAGGCTTTTGGTCAAATGTTGCCAAAAAGATTCTTGTATCAGTGAGTTCATTTCCAAAGCCAAATTATAAATTTGTCTCTGTAAGAATAGGGTATACATACTTCATAAATGAAGAAAGAATTATCCCCAGAGGGGAAAAAATGCCGAAAATTAAGGTACCCCTAGTCTTGTACGTTTCTCTGCAACTAGCTTGTGAAGAATGTTGAAGTAGCATGAGAAGAGAAGGTTCTCCATACTCACACACCTGACACTTAATACTCATTCCGTGAATGTGTAAGGTATTGGCCTAGTAAGAAAATTAAGGTCCAGTCTTTTCTCTGTATTTTGTACTCTTAACCATTATTTTGTACCCTTAATTTCCTGGTTTTTATAAAGATGATAATATTTATCAGTAGAGTGTGAGAGTCAAGGGAAAGAATATAAACTGAACCCTTGTACAATCACAGTATGGTCATAGTACTGTTATTCTGGAGCAGTAGCTGAGACTAGGATTTTGAGCTAGTTCTTTGAGGGAGGGGGTTTTTGTCTCCTTTGTTCTTAGGAAATATATTTTTATCCTTGAAGATTCTGACTTCTTCGTTTCTCCTCCTTTGTTATTTTTGAAACATGATTTCAAGTTTTGTGCCTGATGTTAATTTCATTTCTTTTTTTTTTTTACCTCTCATTCTCTAATGAGGTGTTTTGTTTGTAGGTATTTTCCTTCAGCGGTATGATTTCAGAAGGCGGATCTGGTTTTAGGTGCCCTGTTTTCCCTTAGTTTATATCAGAGATTATAGATTGCTGGCTGGAAGCATGTCTGTAACCCTCGCTTGTTGTTTGACTCAAACTGGTTTTTGTTGTTATTTAATTAGGAGTCAGCATTTAAAAGCGAGAAAATTTTTACTTAAAAAACAGGGCTCCGTGGCAAATGGGATTTGGCCACACAGATTCCTATAGTGGAAGGAAGACTGCCTGGAGCATGGCCCGCGGTGCCATTACGTGAGGCCTGAGCGCTCCACTTGGCCAGTCCTCCCACTCCGGGTTGTCTGCGGTACCACCGCTGAGAAAGGGCCCTCTGCACTTCTTTGTTTTTCACACAGTGAAGAAAAAAGTGAAATCTTAGACTTCAGCCTCTTTCATAAGTGGGGAAATGGAAGAGTAAGAACTCCCCCCGGAAAACTGAGGGAGAATGTTTATTCTCAGAAGACCAAAATTCCTAAGTTGTAGATATACATTCATCTAATTTACATTATCATTTCATGCATACTGTCTGTTTCATTTAATTGCATTATCTGCCCCGCCGGCCTGTAGTAAGGTTCGTTCCTTTGATTTACCTTGGGAATCAGGTGTCCCATTTTGTATCATTGAGTTAAATAGGCAACCTGGAGTTTCTTAACAAATGAAGGAAAGATAGTTTTAAGTAACTCATTTGAAATGATGTTTAAAAATGTGTGTGTGTGAGCTTATCAGAATTTCATTTTCCCCTCTTAACTGTTAAGTAGTCCTTGAGCTTTATCAGATTCGACATTTGGGATTTTATGACGTGTGCTTGAGAGGGCCACCTAGTGGTTTCCTTCTGGTACAGCAGATCTTATTACTGCGCTACATTTTGATCTGATTAGAATAAGCTAATATTTAAATTGTTTATGTATCAAATACATGTGTTACCTCTTCTGTATAGATTCAACTGTAGATAAAATGGGTGTTTTTACATCATTTCCATAATTACTTTATTTTATTTTTAAACAGAAGAAGCAGACTACAGTGCCTTTGGTACAGACACACTAATAAAGAAGAAGAATGTTTTAACCAATGTATTGCGTCCTGACAACCATAGAAAAAAGCCACATATAGTCATTAGTATGCCCCAAGACTTCAGACCTGTGTCTTCTATTATAGACGTGGATATTCTCCCAGAAACACATCGTAGGGTTCGTCTTTACAAATACGGCACTGAGAAGCCCTTAGGGTTCTACATCCGGGATGGCTCCAGCGTCCGGGTCACACCACATGGCTTAGAGAAGGTCCCAGGGATCTTTATATCCAGACTTGTCCCAGGAGGCCTGGCTCAAAGCACAGGACTATTAGCTGTTAATGATGAAGTTTTAGAAGTTAACGGCATAGAAGTTTCAGGGAAGAGTCTTGATCAAGTAACAGACATGATGATCGCCAACAGCCGCAACCTCATTATAACAGTGAGACCAGCAAACCAGAGGAATAATGTTGTTCGGAACAGTCGGACTTCCGGCAGCTCTGGCCAGTCCACAGATAACAGCCTCCTGGGCTATCCCCAGCAGGTAGAACCGAGCTTTGAGCCAGAGGACGAAGACAGTGATGAAGATGACATTATTATTGAAGATAACGGAGTGCCGCAGCAGATTCCTAAAGCTGTTCCTAATACCGAGAGCCTCGAATCATTAACGCAAATAGAGCTCAGTTTTGAGTCTGGACAGAACGGTTTTATTCCTTCGAATGAAGTGAACTTAGCACCTGTAGCAAGTGGCACAAATACAGAAACACATGCTCCGGATCAAAAACTCTTAGAAGAAGATGGAACGATCATAACACTATGAAACTTTGTCTGAATGTCTTTGGAGTGAGGATGCCATTGGGACTTGTAAATCTGGCTAGTTTATTAAAGCATACATACCTCTGAACCAGTGACCTGGAGTAGGCATGAGAAAAATAATACTGCAAGCTTAAAATGTTATTAAAATAGTAGTTTGATAATTGTTAATATAAACTTCAGTTTGTCACAGGTGAGTTTAAGTCTAAAAGGGGCCTTTGCTAATGAAATTATGGCTTTTGCTATTTTGTCTCTAGAGAACTGGATGTTAGAGCACATTCTCAGAACTATGAGAGGACCAGATCATTTCCGTTCGAAGTGGTTGCATATTTAACCTGCTGTGCAGAGCCCAGTTAGCTTTTCCTTTAACTATATTTTTTTAAATTCTAATGTGAAGAAGTCTGATCTGTCCTTTGGTACCTTGGGGACCTCAGCTCCTATGTTCCCTATATTTTGATTTTTTAATGTTGTTCCTCTGTTGCTAATTGTTACAAGTAACTCTTTCAAATGCTTTTTTTTCCCTCTAATACCTGAGAAATCAAACCAACTGCCTGTTTTTGGGAGTTGCTTCCTATGTCATAAAGCATTGAAACCATGTTCCTGAATTAAGAAACCGTAACAGTTGTTCAAGTTCAAAGCTTGTTCATCCTATAGCTTTCACATTTACAGACTCATTCCATACGCATATAACTTAATGTTGCAAAAGGCAGTTCCATCAGCTCGTAATACGTGAGACTCCCTTAATCTCCTCTCACCCGCACTCCATCTCATTGGAAATCATTCCTTTTGTTGTTGGTGTGTGTTCTGTTGGTGTGCTTTTATATTCCGCTATTATATTTGAGTAGTAGGAGTCATTTTGGATTAAAAAATGCACCCAAATTAAGAGATTTTTACACACAGGACAAACTTGTGCACTTTTTTACATGAGGTAATTTGGTTTTTCCTTAAAGGGATTTTTAGGAACACTGCCTACACTTTATGAAAAAATATAGAGTATTCACCTTGGACAGGTAGAGTTTATTGCTATAAATTTTATGAGGCTATTTATTACTTTCCAATGCATCCACTTAGAACAAGTGAAGGGTAAGGCTGCTGACTTCCATTCCTCGCCTGATTTCCCTGTACAATGTGCACGAGCACTGCAGTATGCTGTATATAGAGACCCAGGATCGTGTGAAGCACGTAAGTTCCCTGTGGCTTATGGCTGTTTCTCTCAGAGTTATTTATTAATTTTATGATAGGGCTAGAATGGGTACCGTGGTAACAGTTGCGTGCTATAGAAACAATGAAGAATTAAGTGACTCCGTTTTGAAGGATATTTTCGCTCTATGGTAAAGATATATGAAGAAGTCTTGGACTGAAGGAAGGTCACTTGACTCAGAATACTTAATGTGTTTTGTTCACTTTACCACCAAACAGATTATCACTGAACTATTAACTGCACAACATTACGTAATGCAGTGTACTTTTTTGTTGACTTCACCCAAGTTCTTCCACTTTTGTACCACTATTTGTTAAATGGCATTCCAGCTTTAACCTTCTGTGAGGTAGAAATTTGAGTCTAGGATGGCAAAATGTCAACATGTAGGTTAAATTTCATTTATATTATAAGTGGTGCAGGGGTTCAACATTTTTAAGTAAAAATCCTTTCACACACTACCTCTCTCTCTCTCTTTTTTTTAACAAAGTTTTAACATCCGAAATTTTCTCTTGGGGGAACATACTTCAGGGCTTGACTTTTTGTACAAATTTTAGCTCTAAAGTACAGATTTGTGTTGCATGTACTCATAAAAATGGGCATCAAAGCTGCTAGTGCTTTTTATTTTAATTATCCTGCTAAGGGTATATGTCAGTGGTGATAAAACTAGATTTCTCATTTAGATTATTGGTGAAATAATTGATTACTAGACGTATTGTAAAACCAATAGATCTTGGTTATACAATAAAATGTCAGTTCATTGGTAGTCTGAATCAGTTATTCCCAGTGTACCTTATACCAGTGGATTCAGCATAAAATTTTCTAGTACTAAATGTCAAGCCTAACTGTGAATTTTGTTCTGTATCTTGAGTAAATTTATGATAATGTTCTCATGAGCTGTCAACAAAATATATGTACTTTTGTGAACTACGAATTTTCTAATTAAATTTTACATGCGACATTTTTACATGAATGATACTTTAAACTATCAAATGTCAGTATTTTACTACAATTTTATTATAAAATGTACATTATCACTAAATGAACTTTGATTTTAAAAATCAAATTAGCTCTAGTTGTATATTATTTTTTACAAATAAAGATAGACTTGTATAAAGGCTACTTTCTTGTTTGCAAATACATGAAAAGTCACCCAACAAATATTTACCAATCACCCATGATACAAAATGAGTAGGAAGAAAACTGCTAAGTTATAACAATATCCTGGCTTCCTTAACTTTTAATTTTTAAAAGATAAACACCAAATTCTGTATACATTGGCTGCAACTCTGTATGAGCATATGATTATGTACAGGAAATAGCATTTAAATGTAGTTACTCTGATTGTGTGAGAGGTTATGTGTGATACGCATGCAGAGTTCATTTGCAGTAAAATGATTTGCAACACGACAAAGTAGTTTGTAATGGCACAGTTTATCTTCTGAGATTCAAATTCACTTAGTCCTGCTATTTATTACCACCCTGTGTGGCATTGCCCGTACAGATTGGGTTCGGTTTATACTGGACGAAGGAAAAGCCCTGAGATAGATCAGACCCTCCTACTGAGCTATTTCTAATCCCAAATTCATCACTGTCATTGGCTTAGCTGATCTCTGCACTAACTCCGTCAACCAGGGTGGAGGATAATCCTGATGCCTTCCTCCAATTTAAAACCAGATTGAAAATCCTCAGAGTAAAAATTCAGCGTCATCTACATTGAACTCTTCACATCACTGATTGGTACAGATTATGTTGCATTCAGTACCTGATACTTACCTCTGGGTTTCAGGATCCATGAAACAATGGTATGGAACTAAAACATTCCATTCACCCCCCTCCCCAATGGGGTTTATCTGTTTAGATTCAAGTTAAGCGTTTTGGGCAAGAATACCGCATATATGATGTTACATCTTCCTTGTACCATGTCAGGGGGCACAGCATGTTGGTTTATTTCAACACTGCTGATGTAAAAACACGTTAAAAAATTTTTTAAGTTTTTATTAGCTCGAGAGAGCAAGCGGGGGCGGGGGAGCAGAGGGAGGGAGAGAAGCAGACTCGATGCTGAGCACACAGCCTGATGCGGGGCTCGATCCCACGACCCCGAGATCATGACCTGAGCCAAAATCAAGATTTGGAGCCTTAACTGAGCCACTCAGGTGCCCCAAAACACATTTTTTAAAAAAGATTTTTATTTGAGAGAGCAGAGCAAGTAGGTGAGAACACAGGGTGGAGGCAGAGGGCAGAGGGAGAAGCAGGCTCCCCGCTGAGCAGGGATGACCCTGGGATCATAACCTGAGCCAAAGGCAGCCGCTTAACCGGGTGAGCCACCCAGGCGCCCCGCACATTTTTTTTAAAGTTGATTTTTTTTTTAGTAACCTCTACACCCGACATGGGGCTTGAACTCATGACCCCGAGATTGAGTTGCGTGCTCTTCCGACTGAGTCAGCCAGGTGCCCCGTAACACTTGCTAGTGGGGGAAACTGCTTTCGTTCTAAGTCGTCCATGATGCTAATTATTCTTAGGCTGATAAACACGGATGGGTGCTTAGAAAAGACATCTGTGTCCAACATCCATCCGTTCTACATCTTTGCTTGTCTTCTAACTGAAGAAGTGTTGGGAACGGTGAATCGGCAGGAGTATTCCTGGGTGTCATCTGCCTAACCACGCTTCTGGACCCAGGGAGGATTTTTTCTGGCGCTGACTCCAGGGAAGGAAAACACCCCAATGAAACCTAAAGCATGTGCACGGTCATGTCTGGAGAGTGCTAATTGGACGCTTCTGCCTTTGGATTCTGGATTATGAATAAACCCAACTCCAGTTGCTGAAATACAAAGCTTTATTGGCTACATAGCTGAAAAACCAAGGCTAGAACTAGGGCACAGATACGATCTCGCAGTGCTGTCCGATAGAACTCTGTCGTGATGGGAATGTCCTATATTTGCTCATTCCAAACAGTCATCACTAGCCTACACTCGGCCGCTGCATGTTCCCGTGATTTACACGTAGCCACATGGAGCTAGTGGGTACCAGATTTTACAGCACGGGCTAGAATCTCTCTCCATTTCTTGCTCTGCTTCCCTCTGCTCTTTTCCCAGGCAAATGACCCACTTGTCTTGGCAAAAGCGGCCTCCAGTATCTCCAGTGTACTTTCCCTTATAGGAGCAGCTCACTCGGGAGGGAGCCTCTCCTCCCCACTGATCACAACCAAAGCCTCAGAGCCGACTTTCACCGGCCCTGGCTGGTTCATGGGCCCAAATCTGGCCTGGGTTGGCGGTGGTGGTTCCTCAGGGAAGGAACCAGGGTGCTGCCACCTCACAAAAGAGGAAAGGCCACAGGAAGTGAGCGCAGTGATTACCCCTTGCAGTTTTGTTTATAAAATATTTGGGTTGGGGCGCCTGGGTGGCTCAGTCGGTTAACTGTCTGCCTTCAGCTCAGGTCATGATCCCGGGGTCCTGGGATTGAGCCCTGTATCGGGCTCCCTGCTCAGTGGGGAGCCTGCTTCTCCCTCTCCCTGCCCCCCTACCCATGCTCTCTTTATCTCTCTCTTTCTCTCAAAATTTAAAAATCTTTTAAAAAAAGTATTTGGGCATCCGGGTTTAATAAGGGAGAGAGTCAAAAGCATAAAGTACTGGGGCGCCTGGGTGGCTCAGTCGTTAAGCTCCTGCCTTCGGCTCAGGTCCTGGGATCGAGCCCCGCATCGGGCTCCCTGCTCGGCGGGAAGCCTGCTTCTCCCTCTCTCACTCCCCCTGCTTGTGTTCCCTCTCTCGCTGTGCCTCTCTCTGTCAAATAAATAAATAAAATCTTAAAAAAAAAAAAAAGCATAAAATACTTTGCAAAGGTAAATGGGGACAGAGAGCAGTCCTCTATCAAAGGGAACGGTAAAGGTGAAATTCTATTTGGGGTCTAATGGCAGTGTTGTGAATTTGAAGGACAAGTTTAAATCTAATAATGACAGCATCTAAACTTGTGTTTTTGGTACCGTTGTTTACTTTGATTTGATTTGATTTAAATCTGATATTAATCTCATATATAAAGAATACATAAATCCAATAGAAACTTCAATGTGAAATGGCAGAAAGTTCAAAGTTGATTATTTTTGAAATACAGAAACGAGAGAATCATGGTCTTAGAGCAATGGGTAAATTCAAATGCCCAAGGGGCCAGGGTGGGGCAGGGCCGGTGGGCTGGTAAATCACAGTTCCCTTTTACACGTGCGTGTGTGTGTGTGTGTGTGTGTAACACTCCGTAATTGCCATGTGGGTATGTGTGGCCCCAATGTCGCCAGCTCTTTGAACTTTGCAGAAGAGGCCAGAAACCCAGAATTTCACGAGACAGTCTGCCCATTTGCCAGCCCTGTCTCAGAACCCTCAGCGACCGCAGATCTACCAACAGCTCTGTTCCCTCTGCTGTTTCCCCCTTCCCTCGAAGGTCACTGTGAGGAGGGACCGAGGTGATGTGTACCAAGGGTCTGGAACGGTACCTGAGGGTTAAGAAGCACTCCGCCAACGTTAGCTGTTCTGTCCATTTCTCGGGGCACTGGCCGAGGCCCAGAGCGGTTGAGTGAGTGGCCCAAGGCACTCTCCTAGTTCATCGTGACTCCAGAGCGCGGCCCCTGGAACAGCATCATCAGCATCCCCTGGGCACGTGTTAGAAACGCAGGTGCTCGGGCCCACCTCACGTCTACTGACTAGAAGCTGCACTGGTGGGGCCCAGCCTTGTGCATTTCAACCCGATCCCCCCACGTGCTTCCTGAGCATGTTAACATCTGGGGAGC